GGTGAGATAGAGGCCGAGTCTGGCAGAGACATGGTGAGGTATTCTCCGAGGTTGGTAGGCATCTCCTGGGGAGGGTTTAAAAAATATTCAAATTTTTCGAAAAATCAAAAAATGCTGGAAATTGTCTGAAAAGCGCACAAAACCAAATTTTTTTGGAAATTTTGAAAAACATTTGAAGGTGAAATTTTTCAAATTTCTTTGGTTTTGTGAGCTTTTTGGACGATTTCTAGCATTTTTTGAAAATTTTGTAATTTTTCAAAATTCCCCCACCCGATGGCTTGCAGAACCGGTCTCTCTCGGACTGTTTCTGATGAACTGTGTCTCCGACGAATGCGGTCTGTGCCTGACTCGGGCTCTGAACGGACCGGTATCTGCATGACATGTGTCTGACGTGCCATCTGAGAACACCAGGTGCGACAGGCAACACGTAAGGCACGTAGTAACCGAGTCCTGCAGAGGCCGATTGTTGCAGACGAGGCAGGCAGGAACCGGGTGACATAGATTCCGAGTCCGTTGGAGACATGGTGAGGTATTCACCGAGTTTGGTAGTCATCTTTTGGGGAGGGTTTAAATTTTTTTCAAAATTTTCGAAAAATCAAATATTTCTGGAAGTTGTCTGAAAGGCGCACAAAACCAAAATATTTGAAAATTTTGAAAAAAGTTTGATTGTAAAATTTTTCAAATTTATTTGGTTTTGTGCGCGTTTTGGATGATTTCCAGCATTTTTTGAATTTTTGAAAAAAATTTAATTTTTCAAAATTCCCCCACCTGATGCCTTGCAGAACTGGTCTCTCTCGGACTGTTTCTGAATAACTGTGTCTCCGACGAATGCGGTCTGTGCCTGACTCGGGCTCTGAACGGACCGGTATCTGCATGACATGGGTCTGACGTGCCGTCTCTGAGAAGACTTGGTGCTGCAGGCAACACGTAAGGCAAAGAGACCGGCAGTGACCGAGTCCTGCAGAGGCCGATTGGTGCAGACACCGAGGCAGGCAGCAACAGGGTGAGATAGAGGCCGAGTCTGGCAGAGACATGGTGAGGTATTCTCCGAGGTTGGTAGGCATCTCCTGGGGAGGGTTTAAAAAATATTCAAATTTTTCGAAAAATCAAAAAATGCTGGAAATTGTCTGAAAAGCGCACAAAACCAAATTTTTTTGGAAATTTTGAAAAACATTTGAAGGTGAAATTTTTCAAATTTCTTTGGTTTTGTGAGCTTTTTGGACGATTTCTAGCATTTTTTGAAAATTTTGTAATTTTTCAAAATTCCCCCACCCGATGGCTTGCAGAACCGGTCTCTCTCGGACTGTTTCTGATGAACTGTGTCTCCGACGAATGCGGTCTGTGCCTGACTCGGGCTCTGAACGGACCGGTATCTGCATGACATGGGTCTCTGAGAACACCAGGTGCGGCAGTCAACACATACGGCAAAGACAGACCGGTAGTGACCGAGTCCTGCAGAGGCCGATTGGTGCAGACGAGGCAGGCAGCAACCGGGTGACATAGAGGCCGAATCCGTCAGAGACATGGTGAGGTATTCACCGAGATTGGTAGGCATCTCTTGGGGAGGGTTTAAAAAATATTCAAAATTTTCGAAAAATCAAAAAATGCTGGAAATTGTCTGAAAAGCGCACAAATCCAATTTTTTTTGAAAATTTTGAAAAAATTTGAATGAAATTTTTCAAATTTTGAAAAAATTTGAATGAAATTTTTCAAATTTTGAAAAATTACAAAATTTTCAAAAACCAAAGAATGCTGGAAATCGTCCAAAAAGCTAACAAAACCAAAACAATTTCACCTTCAATTTTTTTCAAAATTTTCCAATTTTTTTGGTTTTGAGCGATTTTCAGAGAATTTCCAGCATTTTTTGATTTTTCGAAAATTTTCATTTTGTTTTTCAAAATTCTTCCCACCTGATGCCTTGCACAACCCGTCTCTGCCAGACTGTTAATGATGTACCGGGCCTCTGACGAACGCGGTCTGTGCCTCACACGGTCTCCGACAAGCACAGGTGCGACGGACAACACGTAAGGCATAGACAAGAGACGGGCAGAGAAACGGGCGTTCACACAGCGAGTCCTGCAGAGGCCGGTTGTGCAGACACCGAGGCAGCCAGCAACCAGGTGAGTTAGAGGCCGAGTCCGGCAGAGACAGGGTGAGGCATTCACCGAGGCTGGCATGCATCTTCAAAACTCTTCCCAAGAGATGCATGCCAGCCTGGGTTAGTGCCACATCTCCCGGACTCGGCCTCTATCTCACTCGTTTGCTGCCTGCTTCGGTGTCTGCACAAACGGGCCTCTGTAGGGCTCGGTCTCTGACACACGTTCACTGCCTGTCTTGGTCTCTGCCTTACGTGTTGTCTGCCGCACCTGGGCTTTTTTTGTAGCTGCATTTCAGAGAAGTGTCATACAGAGAGGTGTTCGTTCAGAGACCGAGTCAGGCACAAACCGCATTGATCAGATACACATTACATCAGAAACAGTATGCCAGAGCCCGGTTCTGCAAGGCATCAGTTGGTTAAAAGTTTGAAAGTAAGTTTGAAAATTTACAAAAAAAATCAAAAAATGCTGGAAATTGTCCAAATAGCACACAAAACAAAAATATTGAAAAATTTTAACATATTTCAATCCTCTCCCCAAGAGATATCTGCCAGACTCGGTGAATGCCTCACCATGTCTCTGCCGGACTCAGCCCCTATCTCACCAGGTTGCTGACTGCCTCGCTCTCTGCACAACCAGCCTCTGCATGATTCGGTGTCAGCCTGACCGTGACTCTTCCGGTATCTGTCTCAGACACACGTTCTCAGCTTGTCTCGGTCTCTCTCTTACGTGTTGTCTGCCGCATCGGGGCTTTTCAGAGCCGTCTCATACAGACAATGGTTCGTTCAGAGACCGAGTTAGGCACAGGCCGCATTCGTCAGAGTCACAGTAAATCAGAAATGGTCCGACACAGCCCGGTTCTGCAAGGCATCAGGTGGGGAAAAATTTGAAATTGTCTGAGTGCTCCAGGTGAATGTGACACTCATGCTCTTTGACCGATGGAACAGTCGATCTGCTTCATGTAGACCTAATCACATTTGCAGTGTATGGTTGACACGGCAGCAGTCCTCAGTCCCAGATCGTCCTTCACCAGCCAAAGGAAACTGGAATTCTTCCTGAGGGGAGGACCCAGACTTCATGTTGTGGATGGAGA